AGTTGAGGTATAGCTATGATGAAAATTACAGGCCTCTCTCATCTTTTTAAGTGGGAGAACTTGCACAATTGGTGGCTGACTAAATACTTTTTTGCCCCACTGTATGTGTTGGAGCTGGACCACATTTTGGAACGTTCAGGAATGTGAACTCAGCATTTGTCTGGACCTCTTTAAAGTGTCTGCTTCTTTTCTTGGATCTGCTGCTTTAAAGAACTGATACAAGTGTTACACTTGTATTTCTGTAGGTATCCAACACTTTTTTGAACCAAATCAAAAGTGCTGCACAGCCCTACTATATATTTATGGAACCCAAAGTGGGAAATTTAAGAATCAGTTGCAAAGGGGAAGGGATAACTGGGAATAACAACAACAACAACAAAAGTAAGTATGTATAAATCTGCAGTGGAGAGAATAGAGTTATGAATAACTTCTGTATACAAATGAAATACGTACGTTGGCCAGCAGCTGAAATCTTCCCAATGATTTCTTGACTGACTTGTAGCTCTTGGATGCTCCATGATACAAATACTGCAACATCAAATAATAGTGGAGAGTGTCAACACTTACCAAAGTATTTCAAGGGAATCATGTCAGACCATCCTTTTCAAATGACTGCCAGAAATCACCACATCAGTCTGAGGTTTGTACCTCTTTGGGACAAAATAGTTTGCTTTTTCTTTCTTTGAAATAGCCAAGCATTTTAAATATTAGCATCCTTATTAACATGACTGAAAACTTCTTTTCCAATCTATAGTGAGGCTAAAGACTTTGATTTTATTCTGGAAAGGAGAACACAGCTACAAAAGAATGCAAGTTGTTACATAGCCTCAACGTTAATCAGTAACAAGAAATAGAAATTGAACTGAAAGATCTGATTTATCTGTACTACACCATTGTATAACTACAATCAGTCATTTCCTAGCAGTTATTATGTATTTGTAACAATTTTAAAGTTGATTAGATCTCTGTGTAGATGTTTTTGCATTATCATAATGCCTGCCTCTGGAAGATATATAGGAAGTCTGTAAGAAGAGGAAAAGAAAAATTTGCAGATTTGCTGTTTTAATAAAAAGAAAGAGATTTATTCCTGGAGAACCTTCAAAAGAACCCCAATACCTTAGAATTAACAAAAGGCTTGCATGTTCCTTTAATGGTGCTTGCTGTAGGGCTCAGTTGCTTGAATTGGAAGTAGCTCTTTGGTCTCTCTAGGTTTTATCACAGCTTCTGCTGTTGTGATATAATAGGAAGCAGAAAAACTGGTTTTATTGTCTTCAGTGAAAACTAGACAACCTGTTACCTGTTGGGTCATCGTTTCAAAGATATTTCCTTACCTAGAGAAACAGAATGACCACAGGCGGGAGCAACTTCCAACTTCCTGCTGGCTTCCCCATTGACTTTCCTTGTGGAAAGCTGGTAGGGAGCATTGGAAATTAGTTTTTCAAATTTCAGTCCCACCGGAGTAATGGGTCCTGGTCACAACTTTGCCAAATTTCAATTCCTGAGGTATACTATGCCTTGATCACCTCAGAAGAGTTGACACTTCCTGCCAGCTTCTCCATTGACTTGTGGGAAGCTGGCAAGGTACATTCTTCTTTCCACATATAACATAGGCTGATGCTGTTTCCCCTCCCCTCATGACCCTCAGCAAAACTCCGGTGAAGCCTCCTCCCTGTCCTCTTTGGCTGACCCACGGAACTGCCTGCCACTTTGCTGGGGGAGGGGAAACCAAGGGAGCTGCAGAAAACTGCACCCCCATTCCCCATTCCAGCATGTCCCCAAGAGCCACCTCCCTCCAGGGAGAAAAAGGGCTCAGCTGTTGACCGCCAGTGGCTCCAGCCAGCCTTACCTCACCAGCAGGCATCAGAGTCACTCCCTCGTCCTTCCCTCACTGCCCATCACTGTCAAGAGGTTTCAAATTTCAGCCTTGGTTCCAAAGCAGCCAATCGCTGCTTGCCTGTTGGCCTTGCCACCAGCCAACTGGGTGCATGGGCCAGAGGGAGGTGGGAAAGATGTCGGGAATATGCCCATGACAATCACGTGACCTTGGCTGACTGTGGCAGTACAGCAGTGTGGTGGTGCGGAAGCAGCCACAACTTTGCCAAATTTCAATCTCATCGGAGTAATGGGTCCCAGATTTTGGACGCATTCTGTAAGTTAATCCATTTGCAGTACCTTGGCTCAAAAACTGTTGCCCTATGATGCACTGTTTCATCCAATTGAAGGGTAGAAATAGACAAACGGACACAAGAGTTTTAGTAGTATATAGATGAGAAAGAATGACTTGGATCTGTACTATTGTGGACATGAACAGTTGGTGGCACTGGGTTTACACCAGGGATCGCATTTGTCTGCTACTCTAATGTTGTATTTTGGTTGAACATTAGCAAGTACCGGATTTATACCTAATATGACTCAGTATCTATGTATGCATTATTAATAGACACAGACCAAAGAAAGAAAATCACATACAGTGATCAGATAGTAAAATAAATGGAGACTCATTAAAAAATCATAAAGCCACATTCAAAGTTAATGCTTCCTAAATGGGATTGCCACTGAACTGAATTTAGCTACCTTCATGGAATAATCAGTGAATCAATCTGCTAATAAAAAATGCACTACCTCCACACCAGCACTTAGTAAGGAGAGGAGTTTTCAGACAGACAGTTAGAGAAAAAGGATACTCCAGCAACACCTGGGCAACTTTTTCCATGGTTTCATCCAAACATGACATAAATACTATGTGTTATCATATGTTCCCTCCAATACCACAGAAGATAACAAATCAAACCTTACTGGGGTGAAGACTCTCCTTCGAGGAACAGATAGGATGGTAAATAAAAATTTAGGGATAAAAAAGGCTCTGTAAATTAGGACTATTGTGATGGTTCAAGGCCTTAAGCCTGTCACTCTGTAGGTTCAGATCAAAGACTCCTTGTTTGACCTCTATAAAGGCTTTTTCAGGGGCAAGCATGATCGAGGATTGAGCTGAAAAATCACAACAGGCTAAATGCTTGGCTTTACTTTTTTCCCCAGAGATAAATTTACTGTCAAGAATGGCCTTAACTAAAGAACCACCCCAAAAGGCTAGTTTTAGCCAGATTTTTAAATGGCTAATTCTCATACAATCTTCATCAGAAGCAAAGCCAAGTTTCAAATGAAGTATGCTAGACATGCAACAAAGCACATAGTGCATGACTTCTTAAAAAAAAAAAAACTTGAATTGCACTATGTATGCTTAAGTCATAAGTGGAAAATTAATGGCACCCAAACTGAACAGCCTAAGGTTTTAAATACTAGGAAATCTACTCCCAGTCTTCTATAATGTGGAGATATCAATCTCATGACATTTCAGTCCATACCCAAAAATTCTCAATACTACAATTAATTTTGCTAGATGTAATAGACATAATTTTTTCCAACTGCCACCAAGTTATTTAGAGCAAAGATGCTGATCGTCCTATTATACAACAGCATAGTACATACTATGCTGCAAATTTTCAAAGAATTGAAACATCCAGATTTGTTCTCTGTAGATGCAGTCCTTCCTTCATACCCTGCCATAAACGGATAGGCATTTTTGCACACTATACAACACGCTAACATGTCATTCACTGCTATCTAAAAGTAAATGTTAAAAATTACCTTGGAAAAGCAGGAAAATGCAAACTGACTCAAAATGTATGAGGTTCATGATGACAATACTGAAAAGGGAAAAGGTATGTGTTACTATAAGTACTAGACACTTTTTTTGACTATGGTTTTTGTTTCTTATAGTTTGACATCAAATCAAATCAAATCAAATCTTTATTATAGTCACAGACCAGCATAAGGAGGGTGTAGTAATTTCACATCAGTTTGGTGAAGGATTTAAGCCTTCGATTCAAAATGAGATTTTAGCATCATTCCATCAAGAACAGAAACTTTTAAACACAACAAAATAAGATAGGAGAGGAGATTTTGACACTTCCAGTTGTATCTGTCAACTACATGTAAAATAAAAGATTTGAGAAGTATAGATATTCCTCACAACTACATTAATGTTCTTTACTTAATCCTTTGAGTTGGGTGGGCATAAATTGTGCTACCCCACAGCCTACCTTTACTACACATCAGCAACAAGGTCAGGAAGAGTTGCTGCCCTCACACAATTTAATGTGGGATAGCTGGCCACCCTTTCCTCTCTCACATAGCATCACCTTCAGCAAGAAAACCAACTACCAATTGCTCTACTGAATATGAGTGGGATGTGGTTGGGGGACTCTGGGTGTCCCCTCCCAGAGCAGCCAGCCATTTTATGCATCTACTTATTGCCATAAGACTATCCTTTGAGATAATAGTTCAGGGGTTTGGGGAGAGGGAACCAAAAACTAAGCTACCACATGGGCTAAGTCAAGAAGAACTATGTGGCTCTCTGGTTGGTTCAGGAAGGAACTGAAGTTATTAGTCATCTTGATGGAAAGATCATTGTCAAGCCTAGGCATTTCTACAGGCAGTCCTTCCTGGCTGGAGAGGTAGAATCATTGTTGGTTGGACAACTTGGGAAAATACTTTTGGCAGTCTGGGGAAAACAGGAAGAGAAATGGAGAAGACCAGCCAATTATCTGACACACAATCAAGCTTTCTGTAAGAACATTCATGACTCTAGTTTGTCCAATAATCATTAAGAACTGATTTCTCTTCTAGTTTACCCTCTTCTTCTCCCAACCTTCGAGCTTCATAGATCACTGAAAGAAGACAGCCCAACAATACACTTAGCTCCTTCTAAACAGAGGAGAAGCACACACTCTCACATAAAATTCACTTTCCAAACCTTTCCCTTTTCTGCAAATCAGGAAAGACTTGGAAAGATCTCAGTAGATGCTTGTTGCCCGCCCACCCACCTCCACCAGCTAGGCTAGTATTAACTGCATAATAGCCCTTTGATTCCCACAGCCAAGTCCAGAGGGAAAGCCAGAATGAGTTCTGAGTGTTTTGTCCATGAAAAAAAGCCCAATCAGTTTCACCCAGCAGATCCACCTTCCCACCGCCAGTTCCACCTGATGCAGCAGAATAAATTCAGGCTCTTGCTCATCACTAGATTAAAACCTATCTGCTGGTGCTGTTTCTAAAGTGTACACATTTCTATTTGCATAGAAGAATACAACATTCTTCTTCATTCCCTATCACAATATATGAACTGTTGCTGGGGAGACAAGGGTATTTTTTTTTCTTATGGCCTTTCAGTCTTATCAGCATTGGTTTTGTAAAAGTTCAAGTCATGGAAATATCAATCTCTCATTCTCCTGGAAAACTGAGAGGCTGACGTAGGAAACGATGGGAAAAATACTTCCATCACCATATTGTCAAGCCTCCTAACAGTAACCCAAATAGCTAGATTTTCACAAAGTCTCATTCACCAAATTTATTGCAAGGAAAAAGGTGATAGGTAAAAGAATCTTTGAAACTTTAGCTTCGTTTTAGCAAGGTGTTAAAGTGAGTCCTCTTTGATACCTTTGATTCTCTGTCTTTTCATTTAAGAGGGAGTTGGCTAGCCATGTATGAAATAAGAACAGAATCTTGTTCTGCACATTTTGGAAATGTCTATTATTGTTCCCAGGCTCAAAAAATTCCATTATACCATGTATTTGAAACTTTCAATCTTTAAGAGGGCTTATACCTAACATTTTACTGCTGTTGTACTCAAATTCCAATCTTGAAGAAAAACACGTGACAGAGAGGCATTTATATTCCACAATTTAGCAGTGCTATCGCACACAAATGAACCTGAAAAGGATCTCTATTTAAAACTGAAATGTAGTATTTAAGTCTATTTAATTGGATAGGCAACAATTTATTAAGACATTGACAGACCTGCCTTTAAAACAATGTCCTGATAGAGTGTCACATCTCACAAAGGAGAAAATTTAGCCACAAATCTGGATTGTCGCACAGCCAACAAAGAAAAGCAATGGTGTTGCAGTGCCTGGTGACTGGATGAAAGAACAGGCATGTCCACAGCAGACTTGCCAAGCCGATTGGTGCTGAATAGACCACTGTCCCTAATCACACCATCCTGAGGCTTGTCGCCTTAGAATGTCTCCAGCGGGGCAGGGGAGCACGGTTAGGTCAGAAGGAAAACCCCATTCCAAATCAGGCCAAGAAAAGAAAGAAAACTCTAGGATGCCTCAACAACAAGCTCAGAAGAAATGGAGGCAAGATGATGAGGCCATGTCTGTCAGAAAGAGTAAGGCTTCTTTGGGCTGTGACAAGCAGGATGAATCTTATGATTCATATTACTGGAACAGTTAAGCCCCTGTCCTCAGATGCACTTTCATCAGCCTAATAACTATAAAGGCTCAGGATCATGATGTTTATAGTCTAACACATTGGGGAGGGGAGGGGTACCAGATTAGGGAAGAAGGTTATATTCCAGTCTAATTTAGAGTCGATAGCAACTTTCTGTTAAGCGTTCTATTTGCATTGCATCATTAATTGCTTGGGAATTGTTTAACCGAGAAGCAATATAAAAATGGTATGAATAAATAAATAATCAATCAACCTACATGCATTTGTCTCAGGAGTATTAAGAGATATTTTCTCTTCCCACAATAGGAGAGAAAAAATACTGACATTGGTTCCATAACTCACTACACAAAAAGCAGTGTGCAGCTGTTCCCCTCTGGAAAGTTCCACTGCGATGTTAGTAAAGACTCAATCTCAAGAGTACACAACAATTGTCTAAAGTAGCAAGCTGTAGACACAAAGGCTTCTGTGTGGGCTATAAACCTGATAGCGCATGGAAACCTTTGTGTGTACAGCTCTACACATGAAAAGTCCCTGTCACAGACAAGAGCACTGTATTCATGGAGACATGACTTTCAGTATTGTCACACCCTGGCTTTAGAACACTGCTCCTGCTTCTTGTGGTGCCAGATATCATCTCCTTTGCAATGTCTTTATAGTGCTACTGTCTCCCATTTTAAGAGGTACAGGTAGGTCATGATTAAATCTGTGATAGATAGCTGCCAAACAGGTAACAGGAGAGCCAGATTTTCTTATTGTTTATTTACTCTCATTTGCATGCCACCTACTCATACAGCTCTCAGTGGCCATTTATTTGATTAATTTAAAAAAAACAGAAACATGCTTCCCTATTTATTTATTTATTTATTTATTTATTTGATTTCTAATTTCTTATTGCTCATTGGTCTGAGAGGAAAGCTAACACCATGCCGTACAATTTGTTGAAATGTTCTCCTTGATAGCATCAGGATGGTACTATGGTCCAAGGATCCATTGTTGAGCTAATGTTGGGAATCATTAACAAAATCCTGGGTTTTTTAATCCCATGAAAGCAAGTCATTTGGAAAGATCGATTAGCAATTATTTAGTTGGCAGATCTCTGACTCCAGTACAGAATATGTGTGGGAGTAGCATATACTGTGTGCTATAGCATACGTCCTGAATTTTTACCACAGGTAAAAAATAATAGGTGGCCTGTTGGTGCACGTTATACAGCCTGAGAATCATTTTCTTATTGTAGGTCACGTATATCTACTTTTTAAATATATGAGTAACTTACAAACCTGTTTGTGCTGCTCTAAATAGCAGTGACATTTTCTAATAAACGCGCCTTTATCTAGCTGGCAAGCGCCCAAGTTTACTCTAGCAAAAACTTTCCATTTTCATTTAAATTATGCATGGAAACCATCATCTGGTGACCAACACCTAAGACTGCTATGATTCAGAGGCGAACTATGATGCATAGTTTGGAACCTGTGTCATGCCATTTATAATACTCCATTACCAATATTCAGAGCTTCATTTTTGCTTACCAGATTTCAGGTGTAGTACCTTCTAGCAAGCTTTAGTCATCCAATCCTGAGATGGAACATATCAGTTTCTATGATATGGACATCTCTTGATGACAACAGACCAGTTTCAAATGCAGACACTTCTACTACACAGAAATAATAGCTATAAATATAGGTAGACTGAGAGAAGTAAAGCTTGAAGTAAATGAAGCCATGACAGCTAGCAGATGTGCTTGGTCAAAATGTTACTATTAAATCAAAAGTATTATTCTTTTAGCGATTGGGGGCATCACTTAATTTTTTTGTAGGGTGAGAGGTGCTATGATCAGGACAAAGATACGGAATGAGAAGGGCCACATTTTGAGGGGGCAGGATTTTGTGGAGATAATTTTATAGTGTTGCATTAACCCTACCATAGGGCTTAGAGTTTCCATGCATTTAATACATACCTCAAAATTGCCACAAAAAGGGCCTCAGGCACTATGTATGATCCCAAGATGCTTGCTTAGACCATACTAGGACATATGTTATTCTTAAGTTTCTTTAAAAAAACCAGGTTCAGATGTAAAATAAATAAATAACATCAAAGTTATACCAGTGAAAGTGGAAACTCTGATACTCTATTGAAGCAAGGCATACCTAGTATTTGGCCTCCAGATCTGTTCTAGAAATCACTGGGATGCCCTAAATCCCAATATAGTATATGAACCAAGCTGGATTTCCTTTTTACCCACAGATGTTTCGTTAAGGGAACAATTCTCTTTGAAAGGCCCTGTCTGATCTCCCTACCACATTACCATACCCAATCACTCTCTAGAAACAATGTCCAGATTTATACAGGGCATTGGCTGTTGTGAGAGATCTTGCATGTCACGTTACAGACTTACAATCCACCCCTCGGTGAATTA